TAGGTATTTTTGGGATATTCGTGATATGGGGGATCGAATGATTAGTTAAATGTTTAGTGTTAGCAAATTCGTTGTTAAAAACTTGAAATTGAATGATTTATGGTATATAGAATAGCAGGCGATCTGTGTTTCAATTGATTGAGCAATAATTGGACTATAAATGGATTGTTGATTATCTATTCGATAGATTTATTGTGAGAAAGTTTATCAATGTAAGATTGTAGTTTAGAATTGATAATGCTCATTTTTTTGTAAGAGATTCACATAAAAAGGAAATATATAATTTATGTAATTAAAAGCAAACAGATATAGAATACGTTTCTTTGATTGCGTGTTCCATAGCATCGAACATCAATCGACTAATTATAAGAGGTGAATAAAATTCATAAGACTCTAATAGTCACTAAATAAGAATGGTTAAAAATGAAAATTTTCTATATGTAAATATTTTGAAATAATTCAGAATAAATCATAAAAGCTCGACCAATTATTTAGAATCGCTAAAATTACAAAAGTTGAATACAGTAATAAACAAACATTAATTATCGTGGGACTCATACTGTTAACATACATTCCAAATTCAACTAAATTCCCATGTCAACTATGACATATGTCTATAAACAATTAGACAAATTGGCAATTATCGATTGAATAGGGTCGGTCGTGGTTTACGGGGAATGGTCCGTATATACCTAAATACTCCCGCTTTTTATTGGACGGTGAGGCTAGCGAGTCTAGAAGATCTTTAGAAATATTCATTGTCATATATAACTTACCCTCCTTTTTCTGAAGATCGGGACTAGGGGTTTAGATAGTGTTTAGAATCATCCATTGTTATATAAAGGTCGATGCTCCCTTTTTTGGATGGTGAGGCTAACGGGTCTAAGAGGTCTTTAGAATTGTGTATTATTATATATAGGCATATACCCTCTTTTTTGGATGGTGGAACTTGAAATTTTAGCAAGTCTTAAAAATTAGGGTGCCGGTACCGGTGCCGATGTGAGTGTGGGTGGTGCTCTTTTCTTCATCCATACTCACAACCTCCACCTCATATCTGCGCCTACACTCATATCCTGCAAAATTGAAACACGAAGAAGTCGCTTCCCGATAGACAAGTGATCCAAATAGATGCATACTAGGCGTTTTAATAAGTGAGATTGAACACAAATATGTTTCAATATTTATTTTCTGATTCCTGATAGGAATTGATATATGTCATCATCAGTTTGTTCTATGTAACACTATTTATTTGTTACTTTCAGCGACAGGGCAATCAATTTATATTCAATTTCTGACAAAATCAATGACAACTAGTGACAGGAGAATCGAGTACGAATGATTTCTAGCAGAATAAACTATAATCAATGAAGTTTAAATTTATTATCTTTGGTTTTTATTGAAGATCAGGCATAATCGGTTATTTCCATCGTTTTTAATCAAATAAAATCTATATTTTCAATGAAAGTTCAAATAATCAAGGATCATCGAGCGATTTGTGACTGTTTCACTGGATTATTTTTTGCATGAATCGATCCCATCTGTTTTCTCTGCCGTCATCAATTGCCTAGATGTTTGCTTGAATTCTTATATTGGTATGCACTGCTATCTCTTCTTCCATTTTTATTATGAAAAGCTCTTCCTCTCAAGCCATTATTTCCTCAATGGAAAATATCAAATAATGCCTTGTTATTACAGAGCAGGATTAATTGTGAGATACTATTGTCGAGAAGAAAATAGTGACAAAGACTGAACATTCAAATAATCTCTTTTCGCGTAAATGCAGGCTTAAGATGAGAGAAAGAGAAATGGGTGCAGCAACTAACTAAAAAATGGTCATCAATCGTATGTTACGATTGCTTGTCACTGATATATTTTCCGCAGAATATTTATCTGTATTTACATTTGATAGAATTTTTGTAACTTTTCATGTTTATATCTTCAGCGAATATCGTGCGAGAGTAAATTTTCATAAATTTCAATCATTACTCATGTTGTTTCTTCCAAGCTTTCGATAATGTTTCATTCTCGGCTAACTGATGGTTTCGCCTTCACCCTATAATATTTGCTCGCCTCTATTCATTCCACAAAAATACTTGAATTTTTGTTTTTCTATCTTTATCGAACATTTTTTGTGCATGTCTTCGTTCATTCACTTCACCACATTATCTATTTCTATTATCTATACGTATTTCCACTTAGATTCATCGAAAATCCTGCCTGTCCACATACAGAATTCATAATATAAACATATCATTTTCTATTCACTCGAAGACAAGTACACTGGCTTGAGAAAAATTTCCATAATCATGCGTTAAGAAGTCGAAATCTATTTCTTTTTTTTTTTCAGATGTATAGGTTTTTCTCTTCTCTATGATGTCGTGCTCTCGCTTCTTCGTTACATTCGCTCGCATTCTGAGTCATTTCTCCAGCTGTGTTCACGTCATTGGATCGTTTGCTTTTATAGAACTATTCCTCTTTTTTTTGTACAAATTTTTCCTTTTGCTGCTCAACTTTATTCAGAAGCCATCGCCAGCAACGCACGTCTTGGTCCGTCCTTACAATTTGTGCATAAGTCCACGAAAAATCAAATTTGTCTCGTTTTACTGTTATGCTTATACATCTTTTAAGTCTATAAGAATATCTTGGCCCCTGTAATCCCTTCAGTCCCATTAGGATGTGAGTATATGAGTCTTCTCATCCGTACCACCCACATGCAGACTCGCACCCACGCCCTAAAGAGACTAAAGAGGCTAAAAGGGCTAAAGGGCGACAAACATGAAAGTCATAGTAGCTTCCAAAGCATAGAAATAAAACAGGATACATATAATTTCTTATGAGCTCCTCACAAAGTCTTATAATTGTAAATGAAGCAGTGCTTGCATATGCTTGATTTTTAGTTTGTTTTTATTTTATCCAGATTAGAGCTTTCCCTTTAGAGCATGAAAGTGTGGGTATGGATATTGAACAAGCAGGTACTGATGAACAGAAGAAACGAACCGATTCACACCTACACTCTACTATGAGCTTGGGCTACGAGTGTGTCAAGTTTCAGATTGAACTTCGAAACTGAGATTTTGCGCGAAGTCAAGTCTACGCAATAAACTTAGTGAAGATTTAACTTCTCTATACATGAGCACTATCGACTGTCATGACAAGATGGGTTATTCATAACTTTCTATGAGCTACCTTAGAAACATTAGCATATTCAAGCAATTTCCTACCACCTCAAAAAGCTCTCACGTGAAATTATATTACGTTTTATGGTGTGGAAGTTGGTGTGAGTATAAGTGTGGGCCAACATGAGATCAAAACTCGCAGATACTCAGACCCACGAATACTTCTCCGTACATCCGCATCCTCACATCCGACATCCTCAACGATACCTCCACCAACAACATCCACACCCTACATCCACCTAAATGGCTCACAGACAGGTTCCACATGCACATCGATGTGTCTCTCGAACAAGAATGGGAAATCGAGCTTTAAAATTTATAAGAGGTCGGAGGTGGTAGTGTTGCGAACCCTACCCCAAGTGAGGATCAATCGTCTACTTAGGGTCGATGGGTATGATGCCTTTTGAGTGCTGGAATTGATTTCAATTAATTCAGTTTCAATCCAGCCGATTCAGCTCGAGTTGGACGTCAGAGTAGCATGCATATTGGTGGCGTGCCAATTATGGTATGAGATTTAGAAATGCGACATTCTTGTCTGTTTGTTAAGAATATCATTCTTTCAGAATTCCTTCGTTGAACGATTGAACTAATCGTTACGGGATTCTATTATTGACTGAATGATGTGATGCTTTCACGGTACGTTTGATACTGTACTTTTTGAAATTCAATACGGGTATTTTTTTTCTTTGGATGTAATATTCACCTTGTATTTCTTACAGCCTTTTTTGTATTAGATATATTTTGCTATGATACGGTCCATTTGAAAATTTTCATGTCCTTAGACTTCTGAGATATCTGCAGCTTCAATAGCGAGAATAGCAGCTTTTATGGAACTCACATATATTTTTGAAGAAAATGATAAGTGTAAGTTTAAGAGCAAGTTTTGCGACTCCCAATCACTGCTCCATCCCTTCTTATTACCGACCTTAGTCCCTAGGATAGCTCCTCTCCTCCCCCATTACAGACTTTAGCAATTAAGAATAACAGACGTCAGACTTTCTAGAGTTTTTTTGAGAAATTGATCAAGTTATAATCTTGAAAAATAGTGAATATTATTGTTTGAGAGTTGATTAATACATAATAGTGCGTAAGATCTGCTGTAGACATCATAGATATGTAATACAGACTTATATGTCAATTATAGAGCTGGACATCACCATGGCTACGAGTGCATTTAGAACCTCTAAGGTGCTCACGTAATTTTTGAAAATTACGTGAACACCTTAGAGGTTCTAAATGTACTCGTAGCTATGGTGATTCCTAGTTCTAGTCGATTAATTCAATGATTATAATAATAAGAATATTAAATTAAGAAAACGAATTTAAAAAAGTTAAAAATAATGAACGAATAGCAACAATGCAAACAAAAATAGAGCGCTCGTAGAAAAAATAAAAATTTTTCTGTTCGAAATGCAGAAATTAGAGAGGTTCTTACTCTGACGATTGATTATCTTGCACAACAACTATAGTATACAAGAGGTTTCTCATTTTACATATTTTGTATTAGTTTAATGAAGCCAGAGAGCATATGTGAGTTCTATATTTTAGCCTCGTAGGCGCTGTGCTAATAAGCTTTTCCTCCATTTGTAGGACGTGTATTTATCACTTCAAAAAAGTAGAAAGATTGACAATACAGATAGTTATTTAGGACTCATTCGAATCTCTTTTGCTTCCTTTTATTTTTTTTCTATAGCTATTACAAGAGCATCGTCATGTCGCCGCGTCGTACTTGTCGCATTGTTTTTCACGATTAGTGCACTAATATTTAATTATATTAATCATTGTCATTCCACGAAGGTGACAGTTCAGAACTCATTATCGGCCATGCGAAAGCAGCTTACTACTATCAATGGCTCTATTACTTCTATAGAGTCAAGTGTCCCGTTCGGGTTTTTCGTCTATGCTCTTGATTCTCAATGTGAAACAGAAAACAATGATTCCTCGGCTCTTAGTCGTACTAAAAAATTTGATGAAATCTTTGACAAACGATATTGGGGATTCAAAGAGAGTCGTTCTGGCGGAGGTTCGACATTAGAAGGGGCTTTCGATTGGATCCGTCATTTGCGTTCATTATTTTATCATTTGCCCATTCGATCAGTTGCCGACGTACCTTGTGGTGATACTTATTGGCAGTTTAGCCTCCAAGAAATAAATACCATTGAACAAGTCTATTTTGGTGGAGATATTTCCAGAAAAGTCATCGAACAAAATCGACGATTATATCAATCATCACATCGTAATAAAATATTTCAAGTTTGGGATATTGTTCGTTGTCCCATACCAACATTTACATTTAAAAATGAAACACATGAACTCAAAGGTAACGATGAATTTTATAAAAATAATTGCTATCCTTTTTTGAAATCATTAACATAGACAACCGATTCGATTTGGTAATGGTGCGTGATGCTTTGCAGCATATGCACATACACAATGGTTTGAAAGCTGTAAGAAATGTCGTCAAATCTGGTGTAAAATACTTTGCACTTAGTAGCTATCCACCTGTTCAACAGTCGTCAAAAAATCGGCGATCGCTGGAAAAGAATGAATCGTTATCGTTTATATCATCTGCATGTAAAAATTATTGCGTCGAGGGTGCAATCACTGATGGAGGTTCCTATAAAAATAACATAAACTGTCCTCCATTCAATTTCCCACTGAGCAAGGCGTTACTTATTCAACCATCTCATGAAAAATTCAGAATGGAACATGACGAAATTCATATTTATGCCATCGACGATGAATTAAAAAAGATAGTGGACAGATATGACCAAGCATGTCGTTGATAAACGATCTAGAAGTATATAATGACGTAGTTCTTGCTTTTTTAAAGATTACATCATCAATCTTCGAAATCACCCATTGTTCTAAAATCGATAACGATAGCTAATTAAAAGTTATTTTTACTATCTGTCAAAATGAAATATGATCGGCACATATGTCAAGTTTAGATAAATTGAGAACATAATCATCTGTTGATGTCAGTGTTGCAACTAGTAACGGTGAACGGCCGGCTCGGTCCGGTTCGGTCTAGGATTCCTTACTAGCCGCTATACCGGTCGATAGAAACGAATTTTTTCAGAACTACTAGTCTAGAAATTTTAAAAATTTTCTTGTTTATTTTTTCCTCATTCTCTTGCTAAAATCGAGTATAGAGGTGTTTATTTTTGAATAGCAAACTAATTTAACTGGTATCCATGGCAATTTCTATGGAAAAACATGGATCAGACTGTTTATGTGTAGTCAATATTCATCGAAATATACTTTATATAGTTTATCAAGTCCTTTCATTTCCAAGTTCTATGATCGAAACAAAAAGGAGCAGTGATTCTTTATTGGAATTTATTAGTATTTCTCTCCAATTTGCATTATTTATATTACGTCCTTCCGTTATAGCTTTGGTGAAAAGCTTCGTAAGTTTCCACTCTGCTATTAGTATGTGACAAGAGCATGCTAATGTGAATCTATTTTATTTAAGCCTATATAGAACTTAAAGGTCAAAAACTAATTGCTCTTGTAGATCTCAATAAGAGTGGAGTAAAGCGAAGCATTCGGTCTTTATTGTCAAATATTCTTATATGAAATGAGCAATAAATAGTATGCTTCCGATGAGTTTTAATACTATACTCTGCATAGCTAAGAATTTGTAAAAAATAGCTTTGATCTAGCCTCTAAGTCAGTTAAAGTACGGAGTCTTTGCTATTCTCTTTAGGAAACTGTAGTATGCAGATCACAGAACATGCCGAAACTGAAAGCCAACATGACAGAAAAACTACCAAGCCGTCGTAGACATCCAAATCTCTGTCGGCAAACTAAAAGAACATCAAAAGACAGATTTTTCATGATTTTTGGAATCTGATTAAGAGATATGACCATGTTTCTCAGAGTATTCTTCAATATCTATTGATAATAACGTGTCAGAAAGGCTCCTAAGTGGTGAAACCGAAGTCTTGAATAATTTGAACAGTGATTCAGAGATAAGTATGACTCATATAAGACAACAAAACCTCATGATGGCTCATGCCGATCTAAGGCCGGCCCGGTCTGACTGATTTAGACTGGTACCAGTCTAGAAGAAATCCTATCGGTTGCAACACTGATTGATATTTCTATTATGCCAATATTATTTCGAAAACACACAATATGTAACTTGTTTGCCATTGATGAAAAGAAATCAGATATGGAAGTGTGGATGATTTATGAATAATCAAACAATTACGGTCACTTGTGGTGACTAGAGATATGCACGGGACCAAAAAAACTTTTCTGGTCCCGGTCAATAATTTGCATACAGTTTCATCGATTTTATTCTAAAATCATTGTTTCACTGTACATTTTGTAGAGAAATGTTTGCTCTTTCTGCCTATGTATTTTAAAATATCTCAGGTGCCTTGATTATCAATTAATTTATAAAACACAGTGACCAGGACCAGAAAATTGTTTTTGGTCCCGTGCACATCTCTACGGCTGATACATCTCTATTACAATACCGTTATTGCCGCATGGGTAGACACAGAATGGTCATAGGAATGGTGTCTCCTTCATACCATCACACCTCACATTATGTTGATTACCTATGCTGTTGTTTGCCATATTAGTTAAACATCTTCGAACTAATAAATAGCGTCCATGAAAAAAGCGAAAGTGACAACTATTTAGGATGAAATAAAGAGAAAAACACATCTATTCTTGACTTTTCTTGCTATCAGTTTGTGAAACAAATAGAATTAAAGGTGCATATTTAACAAATTAAGTGGAGCAATACCATTTTTTTTTAATACCATAAATAATAACAAAAGCGAGAATCACAAGTTGGTATAAATCTTATTTAAATATAGTTTACTTAGATTCAAAAATTTTCTAGACATTTACCATAGAATTAATTTAAAAAGAATCGTTTATACATGGAAAATTATTGATATAATTAGATATTTTCCATAGTGCTTAAGATTGATGTTTGTCCAAATTTGCTATACTTCTATTTATGATGAATTACAAAAATTATTATTTTAATGATAAATAAAAAGTGAGGTATAGTTGAAATTATGGAGGCAACAATCATGAAAGATAATCTATTGACTTCGATTCTATGAATGAAATAATTAAAGGATCTTAATACATTACTAGTCAAAAGTAGCGATGCCACTAGATAAAAATAATCAAAAACTCGAGCATTAGATCTGAAAATTTTACCATAAATAGAACTCAACAGATTCTAATCCTAGATATTAACTCGCATTTAATAGGTCGATAAATAACGGAATTCCGGGCCAAACACTACATTGACCTTAGGACACCTTGATCTCTACTATCCGAGCTTCTTCATTTGTGCGAAGATCTTCATTTGTCAGCTGGACATCTAGCCTTTCTACTATAAAGGTTTTGTGTGAAATTACCATCATCTGGTTGAGTTCTATGTGTGTATCTGAGAATTGTTTGCCCGTGGCATATCAGTGACAATATATAAATTGACTATAACTCAGAAAGATTTCAACCGGTTTTTGTGGAAGTTTTTTTTTTGAAGAACTTTCAATAGTTGTGGAAATTTTCATAGAAATTAGAGTGATAGCTATTGCTGAATAGAAGGAATTGAGAAAACTTGATGTCAATAGCGCAAGGCTCGTTACACGTCGGAATCTTAGAAAATTTAAGTGCCATTTTTGTATTTGAAATTAGGCACTCAGCAGTTCATTTATCAATCAAAATTTAACTTTCAATCGATGAAACAACTAAAACTTTTCTCAAGATCATTTTTGTTTTCTTGATATAAATATGTCGGACTAAGATTCCGATGTGTAATGAGCTTTGCACCATTGACATCGAGTTCCTTCGATAACTTCTATTCAGTAATAGTTATTATTCCCTAAGTTCTAGAAATACTTACTTGACTATTGAAGATTCTTTTAAAAAAATTTAAAAAAAAAAAACGGTTCAAATCAATCTGAGTTATAGTCATTGTATGTACAGACATTAATATGCCTTTGGCAAACGATTCTGAGATACACACATAGAACTCAACAAGATGATGGTAATTTCACACAAAAACTTTGTAGTAGAAAAGCTAGATGTCCAGCTGACAAATGAAGATTTTCGCACAAATGAAGAAGCTCGGATAGTAGAGATCATGATGTCCTAAGGTCAAAGTAGTGTTTGACCCAGAATTCCGTTATTTATCGTCCTATTAACTGCGAGTTAGTATCGAGGATCAGCACCTACTGAACTCTATTCGTAATACAATTTTCAGTTCTAACACTCGGATTCTTAATTACTTTTAACTGGTATTGCTACTTTTGGTCAGTAGTGTATCAGAAAAACAATTCATACGCATATTATAGATATTTTAGAAATGAAGTTTTGTTTACTCATATTTCGTGAAGTTCTTTATTATGTTACATTATATTACTCGACTCTTTTTTTCATTACGAAGTATTTAATAATATAAAACTAGTATATTGTCATAAACATCTACCAAAAAACTTCTTTTCCAACGCTGTTTAATATATTAGCAGTATTGACAAAGATAATAATGAAAAACTAATATTCTAATCAATTCCGTTTTTTTTTAATCATTCGAAAAAAGTTTAACCTCTTTACATTATTATCTTTCACAAACGTATAAAAGTTATATTATAACTGAAAGTAATAAAACACGAAGACAACGATAAATGAAGCGAACAATAGATTTTGAAAAAGATCAAAAGGCTAAACAAAACTGCATAGTTTGAATGACTTATAGATATTAATATTTTTACTGAATGTATGTGACTGTCTAGAAAATAAAATATAAACGGACTGCATGTATTCATATTTTGGATAAAACATCGAAGAAAAATTAAACTTTGCTTGATTTTTAAAATACAATGGTATCAGAAGAAAAAAAATGATTGATATTATTCTTCGGAACTCGATGTGCTTGTTGAGAAAAAATATCAGAATATCAAAGGATATTATATTACAACGTGCTGCAGTTAATATAAATAATAGAATAGGCTCTTTTTTCGTTTGGCAATAGAAAATAATTTTAAAAACAAAGAAAACATATATATTCAGATATTAAATAATTCACACTAATACAATTCAAAATAAAAAGCAGATTCTAGTTGTCGTGTTTTTGTTTATTATGTTTTTCATGGGCATAATTACCTTGTTTTTATTACGAATAAATACCTTTTTTTTTGTTCTATTATATAAATAGTAGCTCGTGACATTTTCAATTCTTCCACAGTATTTCTCTAAATGAATGACAGTTTATGATAATATACTGGGGTGAAAAACATTATTTTAATATTTGTTCTCTAGGACATTTATAACTTATTTCTCTAAAAAAACGATATGTTATTTTTATAGACTATTCATTGTAATCATTGCCTTCGATATTAAATTAACAAGACAACATGCTATCACAACTCACAATTCGTAAATCAACTCACGCATGAAAAAAAATATTTTTCTTCATGCTTGTTGTTAGAAAAAATAAAACATCGAGCGTAACTGATTTATATACCTGCTTGTCTGCTTCAATATTGGGGTGATGTAGAAAAAGAGAAAAAGAGAAAAAGAGCGATTTTCGCCAATATTTTGTTATATAAAAAGTGTATTCGGTTGTTCGATATTCTTGTGATTTATTTTTGTAGAAGGAAAAGGACTCACAATTTAAAGGCAATCATGACCTAAAGTATGCTCGAGTTATATAATGACTATAAGAAGAGTGATTAATGTTGTATTTTCAAAGGTATGAAGCCATTTGCTTTTGATAGGTCGAACAACAATAGACTAACATAATAACGAGAACAAAAAATATCATACAAACAGTGTAGGAGCACCCAGAGTACCATAAAAATTTATTTTCCTCCTATGCAGTGCATTTTTTTCGATCGCTTGATATATGCATCCATGAGATAATGTTAGGTTGATTATTATTTTTTATAGCTGACTACTGACTATGAATCATAATGCAGGTGTCAACGATTTTTCTAGATTTTTTTTTGTTCTTAAAATTTAATCTATCGAACATGTCAGGTGAAAATGAATGGAATGGTAAGTTAAAATGATTATTTAACGTATATGATGTTTATATATTATTATAGAGGACTTATTCGGTTGTTGCAATGATTGCAATACATGCTGTTATGGTTATTGGTGTACACCATGTTTATTTGGTTCAAATGCAAAAAAGATCGATGATAAAAATTGTTTTTTAATGTGTTGTCTTTATGGACTTCTGACTAGTGTTTATTTATGTTGGGTGCCACATTATTTTGAACGACAAAAATTACGTGAAAAATATAATTTAAAACCTAATCCATCATGCGGTGATTGTCCAACAACATTATGTTGTAGCCCATGTGCATTATGTCAAGAAGCTCGCGAAATGAAATCGATGGGTAAATCATGAATAACTATTTTTACAAAATTGTCTCTCTTATTTGCTTAGAAAAGGAAAGAAGTATGGTTTACAAACCTAATGCTACTCCACCGATTATTTCTCAACCAGTACCAGATTCGAAAGATGTGCATCCTACTGATATACGACTTTGAGACAAATTAAAATTAATAGTTGCTATCGAATCAAACTCACAGAGACATTTCTTTTGCATTTTTACATTATACTATCGTGTATTTGTCAAAAAAAAAAACATATATATTAATTGATTATGACGAAAAAAAAGAAGAAGCGATAATTAACGTTTTTTAATTACTTCGAAACTAGTTTTTCAAAACCTGGAAAATGTGAGTTAAAATATATGTGATAAGCATGACTTATGAAAATTTATGATTACCTTGTCTTTTCTTGCAATAATGTTGAAATAATTATACATCAGCGCTAGGTTGGAGTCGACAAGTCGAATTCAGAGCTTCATTGAGCTCAGCCTGAAAAGTTTTAAGTATTAATATTTTTAAAACAGTGTTTTTTTACCAGATAAACTGGATTATAAATGTAATGACAACTCTCAGAACTATGCTGTTAACACAAGTTACTCGTAAAAAGTATTTTTGATCTGACGTTTGATAAACTATCATATTCGAAAAATCAGTCAATGATATTCATTCTAGTGATTTGATCTTTCTACTAAAAGAACGTGCATTTGACATTGATATTGAATAAATCCTTTGATAAATATTCTTTAGGACAAACATAGAATTAATCACATAATTTTATCTTATGTCTCACGCTTGATTTTATTTAAAATTAAATTGAATAAAAAATCATATATACAATTATGTAATAATCAACTGCATCAATAAACCTTTAAAACTTTTAACTACATATGTGGCAAGTGATTTCATTAAAAAAAAGTTAGCCACTATATTTTTAATATTTAAGGAAAATAGGTTATTATTAAGAATGTCCCAAGATATGCAAGAGTGAAGTGAAAACTCGATGTTTTCTTTTACTAACGCTAAATCTTGATTTTTTTTGCTGTGACTCAACGCTTGAAAATCCTCTAATTTTTAAACAGTGTGCTTTCAAATCGTCATACTTCATCAATTCAGATAAAATTTTTGAAATACCTTAAGAATTATAAGAGCTCTACATATTTCAAAAATTTTTCCGACTTCATCTTCCCATTGTTTTATCTATAAACTCTTTTCACATCAAAACTAACAACATTCTTTAATAATTTTGTCGGCACAGTCAAACATACTGGCGACAATTATATTTCAATAGTCATTTTCAGAAGGTAAATGGCAATGCCAGCTGATGGAAGCAAGCAATAGAAACTATTGAACTGGCTATGCTTATAAACCTATTCAATTTTTTTTAGTGAACATGATTTCAGACTTAAGAAAAGAAGCTACTAATACTTTTAAATAATCACTATATTTCATATTTTTTGGTGATACTCAACAGGAATTTCCACTTGCTTTCTTAGAAGGAGGATGCAAGAGAAGAAGATTTTTTTTTTCGGCTACTACCATTCAATTCTCTACTTGCGAAGCAATAAAAATTGTCTTACAAAGGACTGGAAAAATTCATAGCTATTCAATATTCTCGTTATAATGTTCCGTCATTGTTCCATCTTGACAATAAATTGAAAACTATATAAACTATTTTAGGCATGAATGTCAATAATTTCTGACTGTTTATACTAAATCGATTGTATATCGCTTAACTTATATATTATAATTGAGATATTTTTGTTCCAATAATTTACTAGCAAACATATTCTATAATTATATAATAATAAATATCTCTTGATTTTTAACAGACATATGCCAATTATCGTTATTGTTTTTGATGCATATCAGACTTTGATGTTTTATTCAACAGATATGTCAATTGAATGAAATTACAATGTCAATAAGTGTATATCGGTAATACTATGAAATATGTCTTAATTATTGATGACTTATTTTAAAAAAAAGACTTTTATCTCAAATGAACTCTAAACTCAGAAACTGGAAACATTAAATTCTCCTGCTAATAAAAATGAATGATGATTTCGTCGAACAATTGTATTTATTGATTATACTATTCGTTAGTATACATAGGTATATTTGTCTGGTCAGACTTTTGTTCTTTTCTTCATCATCTCAATTCAAATTGATTCTTTGTATGTACGAGACAAAGAAGGATAAACACCAAAAATAAAAATGTACGATGATAAGATCAAAGTTGCATCTCATTGCAATCTTTGAGCTTTATAGTCGCAATATAAAGGTATAGAAAAAAAAGGAGACAAGATCGTCTAAGCGCATCTCGGTTAATAACCCTAAGGTAAACACTCATTTGGAAGAAAATGAAGAACAGGGTGTGTATACAATATTGACTATCATATATATATATACACACTCATATATATGTGTGCAATGTATACCTTTCGCTTTCTTCTCACATTTATTTGATGTGAATCCTTCACACTTATTTGTAAGACAATATCATTCATATTGTTTTTAAATAGTATGAACGGAAGATCGACATGGTACAATGGTTAATTATTATTCTTGTTTACGATTTTGCTATGCTTAAAGTTTGTCTAATTGATTTAAAATTTGTTTTTCTTTTTTTTTTCTATAATATTTTTATTTAAATTTTAATAGTTATCATTAAGTGAAGTAACACTTTCATTACGTTTACTTCATTATAAAAATCGAAATGGTTTAACATATGAAAATCGTCCATGTGATACAAGACTTGAACATGATATCAATCGAGATGGTCGATGTGATACAGGATTTTTATTTTGTCTCGTACATTTACCATTTCAAAATCCACATAATTGTACATTAGGTGATCATTTTACGGGTTTTGTTGGTGGCGATGATATACATTTTATTAATATTGATCAACAATTACAACGACGATCTATTTTATCAATTAATAAAAAAAGACAAAGATCATCATTAATTTCTCTTTGGTTTCAACCAACAATTTATTTTCATTTTAATTATCCAAAAGTAAATGATTTTTTTTTAATGTTCTTCTTCTTTGATTAAATTTAATTTTCGTTTTTTTTTCTTATATTAAGACTGGTATTGGTCTGATTGTTGAAGTATTTGATATAGATGATAATAATAATCAAACTATTCATGATTCAATTGATTTTTATGGAAGAACACTAACTGACCTTAAACTTTATCGTTCAGTTGAGTTGGCACAACCACAAAGAATTTATCTTCGAAGTTTATTTGGTACTTATACAAATTTAACTGTTGATTTTTTGGTTTGTCATTTTATTTAATAGTCAATCTTTGACTTAATAATCTAATCATTTTTAGCTTTATTGTTCACCAAATTATTACGGTAATGATTGTGAAATATTTTGTTCACCAAATGAACAAGGTTATGAATGTGATTTAAATACTGGACAAAAAATTTGCAAACATGGATATTTTGGTCAAGATTGTCTTAGTGGTAAAACATAGAAAAGAATATCATAAAGAAAATAAGATCTTGTTGTTTTTTCTATTTGCAGATGTACGAGCATGTGAAGACCAACCTTGTGTAAATAATGGAACATGTGTTGTTTATCTTCGAAGTTATCTATGTCAATGTCAAAAAGGCTTTACCGG